TGCAAAGCCAGGAAGTCTTGGTGTTTTCAGAAGGAAATGAGCGGGTCGTGCTCCTGGGGAGCAGACAGCCCTAGGAAAGGACTCCAAGGGAAACATGCCATGCGGGGGGACCAGAACTTTCCCTGTGAAGCAATGCAGGCAGGTGTTGAGCAGGGCTGACAAACGAGCTGCCTATGTCCGTCCCTCGGAACTGTTGAGAGATGCCGCCCACCTAGGGCAGCAGTTCTCAACGTGTGGGTCGTGGCCCTCTAGGGTTCATGTGGCCGATATCCTGCATATCAGGTATTTACATCACGATTCAAAGCAGCAGCAAAATCTACAGTTATCAAGTAGAAACGAAATAATTTTATGCTTGGGGGTCACCACAGCATGAGGAACTGTGTGTGTTAAAGGGTCACAGCATTAGGAAGGCTGAGAACCTCTGCCTTAGGAGAGCTTTCTGACAGGGAGATTCTGAGAGGACCGTGGGGGACAAGCTGAGAAGAGAGGGGACCCAGACTGCTCTCACCTCCCCAGGGACGGCACAAATCAGAGCTGGTTGGGGAGAAGAGGTCATTGCATCCCCTTGAGAAGCTGAAGCAGGAGGTACCAGGTCCAGGACAGCCGCCCCAGGGATTCAAGGGGGCTGAAGAAGCCCATCAGCCCCCCATTTTCTGCCCTCCCTCCCGTCATCCAGCCCTCTGCTTAGCAATAAAGCCAGATGCCTGGGGGGGTGGGGAAGGAGATTGAAGACAGAGCAGACTTAGATCCTGCCTTCAAGGGTGACTTCCGGACAGCTAGAGACACGGGTGACTTGAGGTGGGTGGCAGCCCTGACTTCTCCGTGGGTCTGAGTTTGAACCACTCTAGCACTCTAGCATGATTCCTTAAAATGTTGTTCGGTGGGGCTTTGCTGATATTGTGTGTTTTTTTGTTTGGGAGTTTTGTTTGTTTTGTTTATTTTGGTGTTTTAAGACAGGGGTCTCGCTATGTAGCCCTGGCTGGCCTGTAACTCACTATGTAGAGCAGGCTGACCTCAACTTTGCGGTGATCCTCCTGCCTCTGCCTCCAGAGGAGTTACAGGTGCATGCTACAACACTTAATACCAATGGACTTCTTTCTCCATTCTGGCTAGAAGTCCCAGATCAAGGCAGAAACAGAGGCATGGCCACTGAGGGGCCACCTCCTGCTCACAACTGGCCTGTCTGCCTGCAGTGGCATCACGTGATAGAAAACAGAAAGGAGACACGCTTCCCCGTTTCTTGTTATTTTTATTTTTTACTTTTATTATTTTTTGTGTATATGTGTGTAGGGTATGTGTTGTGTGCATGTAGGGGAGGTGGGTCAGCATGCCAAGGCAGGCATGTGGAGATCAGAAGGTAACGTTCAGGATTCCTCTCTCTCCCTCGCCATGAGTTCCAGGGATGGGACTCAGGTCGTCAGACGTGACAGCAAGCACCTTTACCCAGTGAGCCCTCTCCTAGTCCCAAATGTCTCGTCCTAAAAAGGCACTAATCCCAGCGTGAGGGCTCCACTCCCATGACATTAGTAATTACTTCCCAAAGCTCCGCCTTTGATCACATTGGGGATTGTGGGAATCAACAAATGATTTCAGGGAGACCTGGCCTGCAGGGCAGTGGAGCGCTTTTCCAGCTCACCTAACCGCACACCATCTGAGAGGCAAGTGCTGGTACCATCCTCCATGGCAGAGGGAACTAGAAGCAGCCCAGTGGACCATGTGAGTGAAAGCCAGGGACAGCATCCTGGGGCTCAGTCTGCAAAGCTTATGGTTTGTTCATGACCATGCTCTGCTTGCTGTCTCTGCCATCCTTCACAGAGGGAGGCTGGAGTCCCAAGTCGAAGTGGGCAGCGGCGGCTATATGGAACTACCCAGCCTGTCTGAGGAAGATCCTGGCCCAAGTCCAGGTGCGTGGAGCCCAATCCCCCTACTGAGGTTGGGCCTGGCTACAGCATCAGCCCAGGCCCCTCTTCAGGGCCAGCTGGAAGAGCTTCAGAGGCCCTGAGCTGGGAGGGGTGGGAGAGGCATGCAGCTTGGCCCCTCTTCAGGGACAGATCCCAGCCCCACCGCCTCTCCGAAGGAGACTGGCCAGAGGTGGGGGCTACGGAATCCCAGGAATGGAATGTGTGTTGTCCCCAGAACTTGGATTAGGAGAGTGATCTGGGGAAGGGGAACCTGGGGGACCTGCTTCCTAGACAGACAGGGCAGGGGCAGGGAGGGGCAGGCCGGGTAAGGCCCTGAGGTGCAGGTGCTGCGTTGAGACCACAGAACAGATAAGAGGCCTCCTTTCTCCCTCTTTTTTTTTCCCCCGAAAAACCCAGGAGCTAAGCCAGGCAGCCCCTACTCACAGGAGGACGCCAGGACATCTGAGGATGCCCAGAGCTCTCCCCTCACAGTCAAGACTGGCCTAGCAGCCCTATGGGATGAGCTTAGGGGCAATTGTGGCACCATTTCACAGACTGAGACACTGAGACCCAGAGGCACGAATGTACCAGTCAGTCTACACACTGTGGACACACACCCCTGTTTTTGTTAGAGTTTAAAAACTCCTGGTCAAGAGACTAGAATGTCTGGCCTAGGTGGAAACCTACCATTCCAGTGGGGCCAAGTCACTCACTCAGCCAAGGGACCAGCCCTGGGAAGGAGGGCTCACCTTAAGCTGTGCTAAAGAGATGGGCGGAATAAATAGCCCTTTAACGAGATACTGTACTTTTCCTCCCAGAATCCCAGCCTCCAGTGTAGTAGCTTAGGGCTAAGTCTGCCCATTTTTCTGAATTATTCAGAGAAGTGTAACTTTGCCTCTTCTCCTTTCCGCCTCCTTTCTAAGCATTTCTCTTCAGGCTTTCCTTCCAGCGCTTTGGACTCCCCACTCTTTTCCTAAAGTTCCACTTCCCACCGTGGGGCTGCTTATCTGCCACACATCTGACATCCAGGCCAGCTTAAGTGACATGACCCTTTCCCTTCTCTCCTCCGTTCTTGAACTCTGGGCAGCTGCTGAGGTTTACAGCTTGCCTGCCTTGGGGGTTTTGTTTTAAACTCTAATAAAGTTGTCCTTGAGATTCCGTTTTGAATCCTTTCTTAAGTTATTTTATTAAGCACCACTATGGGCATCCTGATTTCTCCCATATCATTTTGCTATTGCCACATGGGTCTCCTCTTTGGACAACCAGTGCACCCTCCCCTTGTGCTCACCCCAACTCCACAGAACCCGGGAGGTTGGTCATCAGGACAAAGAACTTCTCCACCCTGGAAGTGTACCTCTGTTTCCTGCTTCCTGTCCAAGTGCAGGGCGCCCCCTGGGGGCTCCCTCCCCAGCCACTCTCCCTTTCAACAGCACCTTGGTTTGCCTTGCCCTGGGTTCTTTTTCAGTGGATTCCCTTTTCATTTCACTCTTTTGGGAGCAACAGCCCTTACAGAAAGAAAGGGTCTGGGCTTTGAGGACAAGCACAACTCTGCCATTTCTACAGTGTGGCCTTGGCCAAGTCACCTCTCCTGCAGGTTCAACAGATGGAGAGAGGGAATATCTAAATAAATATAAATAAATGCTTTATATGAAAGCCCCAAACCATTGGAGGCCCTGAATGTGGCAGCTCTCCCCTCCCCATGCCAGACACCCCCTGGGTCCTCATGCCTTTTCTCCATGCCCTGTACCCAGGGCAAGTTCCCAGGTTAGCAGAGTCCTGGCTCAGACCTGACCTGTGCTGGGACAGATAAACATACACACAATCCAGCTTCCAGCCTCACACCCAGATGGGTGCCCTGGAGGTGTTTGCTGGGGTCCTGATGGATGTCCCTAGTGGATTCTCTGTCTCATGAAGAGCCCAGAGTCTATTTTAAGGCAGATCTAACCAGATGGCCTTATGAGAATTTGGTACACTTAAGGCCGAACACACATACTCCCTCACTATCACAACTTATCTCCTGTCTTGTTTTCTCACATTATATGTTACTGTAATGTTCTGTGCTCTCCAACACAGGTATACACACACACACACACACACACACAGAGAGAGAGAGAGAGAGAGAGAGAGAGAGAGAGAGAGAGAGAGAGAGAGCCCTTATCATTGCCCTACCTATCTGCTCTATGTCTCTATCTGTGGTGGATTGAATGTAATTGGACCCCATAAGCTCATTGAGTGGCACTATTAGGAGGTATGGTTTTGTTGGAGTAGGTATGACTTGGAGGAAGTGTGTCACTGTGGGGGTGGGCTTTGAGGTTTCTTATGCTCAATATACTGCCCATTTTTTCAGTCGACTTCCTGTTGCCTTCTGATCAAGATGTAACCAGCACCATGTCTGCCTGCACACTGCCAGGCTGCCCACCATGCTTCCCACCATGATGATAATGGACTGAACCTCTGAAACTGTAAATGAGCCACCCCAATTAAATGTTTTCTTTATAAGAGGTGTTGTGGTCATGGTGTCTCTTCACAGCACTAGAAACCCTAACTAGGGCTGGAGAGATGGCTCAGAGGTTAAGAGCACTGACTGCTCTTCCAAAGGCCCTGAGTTCTATTCCCAGCAACCACATGGTGGCTCACAACCATCTGCAATGAGATCTGGTGCCCTCTTCTGGCCTTCAGTCATACATGCTGTATACATAATAAATAAATAAATCTTTTTAAAAAAAAAGAAAAGAAAAAAAAAAAAAAGAAACCCTAACTAGTTTGAATATAATTGGCCCCCATAAGCTCATAAAGAGTGCCACTATTAGGAGGTGTGGCTTTTGTTGGAGTAGAGATGGCCTTGTTGGAGGAAGTGTGTCACTGCAGGGGCAAGCTTTGAGGTCTCTTTTGCTCAAGCTTTGCTCAGTGTGACCCTCAGACCATTTCCTGTTGCCTGCAAAATGTAGGACTCTCAGCTTCTTCCCCAGTACCATGTCTGCCTGCATGCTGCCATGCTCCCTGCCATGATGATAATAGACTGAACCTCTGAAACTGTAAGCGAGCCCCCTCAATTAAGTGTTTTCCTTATAAGAGTTGCCATAGTCATGGTGTCTCTTCATAGCAATAGACTATGAATAGCTTTACCCTAACTAATACACTATCTATCATCTATCCATTCACCCATCTACCCATTCACCACACCCATCCATCATCCATCCATCCATCCATCCATCCATCCATCCATCCATCCATCCATTCATCCATCCATCCACTCATCTATCTATCCCATCTACTCACCCACCCACCATGTCTCTTCCTCCTATCCATTCATCCACTCACATACCACACCCATCTGTACACTCACCCATCATTGACTCAACCTCCCATCTACCCAGCTATCTACCCATTGACCTACCTGTTATCTAACTATCTGCCCATCTACTCACCTATCCAGCATTTATTCATCATCATCATCATCATCATCATCTCTCTCTCTCTCTCTCTCTCTCTCTCTCTCTCTCTCTCTCTCTCTCTCTCTCTCTTCACCCATCCCACATTTAGAAGTCCCAGACCTCCGTTTCCTCAGCTCACAAGGCCAAAGGCACAGACAAGGCATCACCAGTGCGTTGTGATCAGAGTGAGGAGCCCCAAACCATAGGAGCCCAGTATGAGAGGCTCGAATAAGGCTTCTGAGGGGAGCTACCTTGATCTGGTTCATGGGACAAGGTTCTGGGCAAGGGAATTGTGGGGAGAGGAGGCCCTGTTTGCTGGATATTGCAGGAGAGACTGGCCAAGGGCTGTGTGCTAGCCTTAGCCGGGTGGGCTGAGGTGTTAGTGACGGGGAGAGCTTCCTGCCTGTGCCTGGCTAACCTCATCTTGGATGGTCACACTGCCAATGCCTGTGACGCCATCCAGGTGGACTGTGCTTGCCCATGGGCCCAGATCCTCTTAGGGAAGTCCTGTCCATGCCCCAAGCCTCAGCTGAGCACCACTGTTTTCCTTTGCCTCACAGCAGGAAAACCTGGGCATAACAAGTCCCCCGTGCAGGAAGTGGGCACCCACTCCCAGACCACCATCCTAACACTTCTGTCAAGGCTCTGGGATCCTCTCCTCCATGCCTGGCCAGACTTTCCAGGTACCTCCAGCTTATGTGCTGGACTCTGTCTTCCTATGTCCTCCATTCCAGGACAGGGAACCTTTCTTCAAGCTCACAGGCTCACCTGGCATTCAGGTGCCAACTCAGCTCTCGGCCTTGCCCACACTATCTCCCCTTGAGTGGTACAAGGGGCACCCCGGCATGGGAGTAAGTCTGGTTCTTCAGGCCCCATGGAATGTTCTGCCGCTCTCTCTGCCTGGAACCTTTCCTTAAGGGCTGCTGGGAAGGAGTCTCCCACCACCACTTGTGTGAGGGTGAGCCCTTTGGGAGGAGTTGGGGAGATGCAGGAAGAGGTAGGCCTGGGAGGTTGAGGCCTAGTTCAGATGAGGGACAGGACAGTGAAGGCATGGAGTAGGGCTGGCCTGAGCGGTCTGAACAGGGACCACTTCTCCTTGGTGCCAGCAGGATCAAAGACTCATGGTGTCCAGAGATTTCCAAGGTCAGAGGGAGCCAATAAGATCCTCCCAATCCAACCTAACAAAGCCCCTCTAACTCACAGGGGCCTCTATTGCCATTCTAGAGCGTCAGCCTAGGTGAGGCTGAGCATACAATCAGCTGAGACCAACCTTGGCCAGGTTTTCTCAGTAAAAATTCTGATTCCCAGAGCAGCGTGAAGGGTGGTGAACCAATGCCCCCCCCCCACTACACCCCTGGGCTTTCCCTTTCCACCTTGGGCTGTGCAGGCATGCATGACAAGATGTTGGAGGTTCCTGACTGTCTGACATTGGCATTCCCCATACCCTGGCCTATGTCTCTCCCCAAGGTCTCCCAGCCCTGAGTGTGAATCCAGAGGACTGCGTAGAGTCTCAGTTCCCAGGACCCACAGGCATCCCTCTAGCCAGAGGCTCTAAGAGCCACAAAGGCAGGAGACCACTAAGCAGTCTGGATGACAAGCAGGAGGAAGGAAAATATCACTGACCATCAGGGCTCTGAAGCTGGGCTAGCTGGCTGTAGCATCCTGTGGCATGTGCTGGCCTTGGAGCAGGAGATCCTAGTATCCAAGTCTCCTAAGGAGCACTGTTGGGGCGTTGTGAGAGCATCACATCCACGTCGATATCAGAGAGCATCATAGGGACATTATATCACCATATCTTGGGGAGCACCATGTCTTGGGGAGCACCATACCTGCATCTCTTGGGCAGCATCATGGGAGCATCACCTCCCCAGTTCTTGGAGAGTCTAGTTCTTGGGGAGCACCACACCTGCATCTCTTGGGTAGCATCATGGGAGCACCACCTCCCCAGTTCTTGGAGAGCACCATATCTGGATTTCTTGTGGAGCACCATAGAAATACTCTGTGAAACATAGTTCCATGCAGAGTGTCTTGAGATTAACTTCCTTCACAAAGCGGCACCTGTTCTGGCTCTCAGCAAGTGCTTAATAAGATATCCTGTGGTCATCTTTTCTTTTCTTTTCTCCCCCCCCACCCCCGTTCCCACCGCCCATAAGACAGAATCTATCTAGGCTGGCCTGGAAGTCCCTCCTGAGAGCTAGGATTACAGGCATGGGCCAGCATAATTGGGAACATGTTTGTCCCCGTGGCGCTTGGGGCCAGTCTCACTCAGGAGCGTCCAGGAGCCCCAGTCTTGCCTTAGATACTTAAGAGACAGTTGAGTACCTCCCTCCTGTAAGGCCTGCAGTTAGGGTCCCCTGTGGTGATATATTGTGTATCCTAATGAAATTTACCTGACGATCAGAAGACAGAAGAAGCCACTAGATTAAACATAGAGGCCAGGCAGTGGTGACACACATCTTTAATCCTAGCACTAGAGAGGCAGAGATCTGTCTGAATCTCTGTGAGTTCAAAGCCGCCCTTGACTCAATCTAGGAGAGAAACAGGGCCAGGCAATGATGGCACATATCTTTAATCCCAGTATTTAGGAATCACACACCTTTAATCCTAGCACTTGAGATCTCATGCCTTTGCTTG